ATAATAAGACAAGTTTTTAAACTCGTTAATTTGCCATGTTACTGGTTAAATCTATTTATTTATTTATTTACCTGTTATATAAACCCTCATGCACATTGATCACAGAACATGAGTAGCATATATTTCGAAGTTGTGTACGTTGTATACATTGACAATACATGAGCACACCTCAGAGTTGATTGTTTTTGGACCAAGGAATAGTCACATGAAAATGACTTTTCACTGACGGTACAGCTATACAGCACGGGAAAAGCTGTCAACAAACGGACTTGTACAATGGAGTGGAGGAAGCCCTACTTTTTATCATTGTAAATAAAACTTTTATAAAACTTTGGAACTTTGATTTACTATGATGAAAACTTTGGAACTTTGATTTACTTTAGTAAAAACATTGGAACTTTGATTTACTATGGTGAAAACTTTGAAACTTTGATTTACTTTAGTGAAAACTTTGGAACTTTGATCAGGTACTATAAAACCCATGAAATTATTTTTTTCCCCATTTTGAACATTTCATGAAATTTCAAGTTTAAAATTTATAAAAGCTTCAGAGAACTTTTAAAAAACCCAATTCGTCTCCTAAAAGAACAAGAAATAATTTTTAATGTAAGAATTGTCTCTTACGCCGATAAATAAGCAATATTTATTAATATTTATTTGATTTTTATGTTATGCAGATAAAATGTGTCTTATTTATGGAGAAAAAATTGCTCTAACATAAAATGTGCGTTATTTAGAATCAAAATATCTCATTAATTAGCTCCAGTCAACATGTTTTAAACTGTTAAATGTAAATATTGCATAAACATTAATTACTCTGCATATTAACACAAAGATGAACAACAAAACCAACCCCAAATAAACCAAATATCTTTCCCCTTGAAACAGATAAATAATTGCATTATATTTCTTCAGGTCACCCTTTTTCTGTATAACCTTAAATATAATATAAAACTCAGCAGCAGTGTTTGTGTTTTCATTTCTTCTATACTTAGACAAGGCTGTGACATAAGCATAAAATAATATGGTTTGAATAATATTTGTCATTTAACAGATCTTGCAAAAAAATGCGCTTAATTATTGGTGACCTTTTTTGCACGTAAAAGTAACATATGTGAGGTATTTCAATGTAAATAGCCACTTAAACAGGTCGAGGAAATTACATTATATGGATATTGTTGCGATTGCGCACAGAGGTGCTCACAGCAAACAATGGTCCAATCCAATGAATGAGCCGAAAAGGATGATGGCCTACTACATGTTTATTTTTACTACAAACACGTGGGTCAGGAAATTTTAGGACGCGATTTCAAACGACTGCAGGAAAGTCAGCCAATCAGATTGCAGCTCACGTACACGGCACGTGTGTGCATGTGCATGTTGACCATACCATCTTGTAGAAGTCCATTTCATATATCTATGTTCCAAATCCCATCCTGTTAGGTTGAAAACCAAGGGAGTTATAGCTATTTCAAGTTTCAGCCAATCAGATTGCAGCGCATGTGCATGCACGTGTTTTCATGATAATTTCTATATATCATGTTGTAGGATATCCTAATGCATGGCTATGTTCAAAATTTCAAAGGATTTTGTCAAAAAACAAGAAAGATATTGAGACTTTAGTTGAGACCTTTGTTCGGCAAATCTACATAACATGTCTACTGACCCTAAAAACATTTTACCTTAGTCGGATGTGTAGTTTACAAGATCACTCAAGGACAAAATTTTCCCAGGAATAATAATAATAACTAGATGCGTTCTTGTTGCTAGAGCAACAAGCAGGTCTTCCGACCGACTTTTTGATAGAGTTCTATGCTGCGCCATCACAAGAAATAGATTTAAGAATGTATTTCTTGTTCCAGTCACTTTATAATTTACGTTTATGCACAGCAGTCTCTCAACATACATCATGATTATTACAGGTATTTCTCAATATATCTCAAAAAATAGCTTTTAAAAATCGGCAAAATCTTCCATACATATCAAAAAAGAGAAAAGTCACATTTGCAACTGAAAAAACACAGAAACAAAGAAAAAATTTTTGAAACGCCACCAGCGGGATTCGAACCTCCGACAGCGGGGCAAAGTTTGGTTCGGTCATATCTTTTCAATGAATGCACGCATCAAGATATTGAACATATATTTAGAATTCTTATAAGACACTCTATAAACCCTGTAAATCCTAAAGAAAAATATTGAAAAACAAAAAAGTTGAAAAATAGGACTTTTTGAATTCACTTCCGTTAGCGACCGGAAGTGCCGACGACGAAAAATAAAGGTCGTTGCCCATAATGGAGTTCGATGTTCTATCACCTCAGTGAGTTTCACTTTCATATCTTAAGCCGTTCTCGAGAAAACTGCTGGACAAAATGCCTTTTAAAAAAAACAAAAATCCCCAAAAATCGCGAACGAAAGTGAATTTCGAAAAAATAAAAAACACGTCTGGAGATATTCTCATAATGCATCATCCCTGTGAAAATCTTTTAAATCCATCCACGCACAGCTGAGATATCGCTCTAACTATGAAAAAAAGAATAATAATAATAATAATAATAATAAAAAACAGACGAATAACAATAAGGTCTTCCGAAGGAAGTCGGAAGACCTTAATAATAATAATAACTAGTGCTAATTGTAACGGGAACCGTTACAGATGTTCCCCAAACGCTCCCCAACTCCCTTTATGTGCCATATTCCCCGTAAGCCTCATTAAATAAGACAAACTCTGTGCATTTTTGAATTTAACAACGTTTTCTCAGAAGGATACCAATATTCAAATTTTAGCATTGCACTCAAGTGAATGCATGTGCGTTATGACCATATCATCTTGTCTACACTAGGCCTATCTATATATTTTGATATACTGTATATTAAGGCATTCAGTTCAAAAGTAATAAAAATAACTCATTCAAATGTATTTTTAATTTTACTCGTTCCAAATGCACGCACATCCGTGCACGTGCATGATGACCATACCTTCTTGTAGGAGTCTCTTACATCTATCTATGTTCTAAATCCCATCCTGTTTGGTTGAAAAACAAGGGAGTTATAACCATTTCAAGTTTCAGCCAGTCAGATTGCAGCACACGTGCATGCGCGTGATTTCATGAATTTTTTCTATATCATATTGTAGGATATCCGAATTCATGACTATATTTTAAGTTTCAAAGAATTTCGTCAAAAAACAAAGGAGATATAGCCATTTAAAGTTTCAGCCAATCAGATTGCAGCACACGTACATGCGCGTGATTTCATGAATTTTTTCTATATCACATTGTAGGATATCCTAATTCATGACTATATTTTAAGTTTCAAAGAATTTCGTCGAAAAACAAAGGAGATATAGCCATTTAAATTTTCAGCCAATCAGATTGCAGCACGCGCACATGCGCATGCTTTCATGAAAATTCTTATATATCATGCTGTAGACCTTCATAATGTAGGATTATGTTCAAAATTTCAAAGGATTATGACGAGAAACAAGAAAGATATTGAGACTTTAGTTTCAGCCAATCAGAGCAAAGCGCACGTGCATGCGCGTGAGATATTGCTATTTTGACCATGCTATCTTGTCTATACTACTAATGTATCATTACATTATGAGTTTCAAAAAATTTCATCAAAAAATAGGAAAGTTACGGCAATATCCATTATATTGGTCATTTTACGTGTTGCACGTGCGCGCTCTTGCAAGCACGTGCACGCAAAATGACCTTCGTTCGGCAACTCTACATAACATGCCTACTAACCCTAAAAAGGTTTCACCTAAGTCAGATGTGTAGTTTACAAGATCACTCGTGGACAAAATTTTCCAAGGAAGAAGAAAAATAATAATAACTAGAGCAAAGCTCGTTGCAAAGCAACGAGTGGGTCTTCCAAATCTTAGCAATAAGCAAAAAGTGAAATGTTCAAATGTCAACTTTGCTACCATTCTTTAATTCTTTGACTCAAACAGCAAAAACTCTTTCTTAAAGTCTGATTCTGGAGTGAGCACAAGGATAAACAAGGATAAATAATCCAATGGTAATCTCTCCAACACCATTGAAACTGTACCTACAAAATTTATACATCCTCATATTTTGACTCGTAGACATATACTATCACCTATGATGCAATCATATTAGTGAAGTGTTTTATGCTACGGATATATCAGTGTTTTGATATATCATCAGCTAAAAAAATGCTTTAAAAACATTTACACAGTATAATTAGATAGTATTATAATAGTAAGAAATCCCAATGTGTTCCTGATAAACTATCTCCATTTTTTGTCAGGTCAGAAAGAGACCAATACTTTTACAAGAAATACAAAGGGATGTGTTGTGCAGACCTCCACTGGCAAATGCTGGTATCTCAATAAGAGTGTAGAAAAGTTCTCTGAACAGGACATTCAACAAAGAGATCTCTTTATAAAAGCACTGCCCTTCATATGAACAAATTTTATTCCCCTACACTAAAGAATGCTCTGTGCCAAGTTTAACTTAAATTGTCCTGTGCCTGTGGTTCTGAGAAGAACATGAAATTTTGATGAATTTAATTCAAAGATGATAATGGGTGACTTTTATTTAAAAAAAAATTACTACAGCATTAGCTCATATGAGTTAAACTGTATACAGATTTAGTACTTTGTTGACTTTTAAATATGATTGGACATCTCTTTGATGTTATGTTTGAAACAACATGTACATGTCCTTTGTGCTGAAAAATGCACATATGTTAATGGTGTAGTTGTTTGTGCCAAGATAGTAACTTTCCTTCCATAATTCTGTAAAAATACATATATAATATCTTTTGCTGCTGAAGACAGAGCTTTATCATCTTAACCATTAACATTGGTATGCCTTCCCTTAGAAATGGAAGACCTTAATACAGGTCTACGTAAACATACAAGATCTGACACATTTAAAAAGAACATTTATTCCAAACTAAACATACTAGATTCTGTAACAAAATCTATTTCTCTTGAAAAACTGAAAGGATTTGATATATTCATACCGGTATTTGTCAAATTGTGGATTTATGTCTTTTTCTCAAATCAAAATTCGAATATGCTATATTTAAAGTCATCTTCCTAAACTGAGACTGTTTCACATGACAGTTTCAATTTCATTACGCTGTTTATACTTTGTCATCTGATCTCCAAACAGATGCTCTTCTGGCAAATCAGGATCATGCGTGGCAGCAAATTTCAGTACTCAGATGACAGTCACAGTCACACCTATAAAAAGAATTTGAAATTTTTCATTGATTTTTTTTTAAAAAGTGCAACTTATAAAATAAGATAAACCATCAAACTGAATTCAAAGATACTATCACATTGTCTGCATGTGTATTACTTGTAAAACTACTCTCTAATAATTTATGAATATAGGTTAACAAGCAGTCATTTGAGGATGTTTTAAAATAACACATTTTCATGATTTCAAATAAAGGAAATGTACGATACTTGTTCATTTAAAAAAATATTAGGAATGGTAATGGTTAACAGTTGTTAAATGATTAATCAGTCAGAAAGATGGTATTTGGTTATGATTTTTATGTGTCAAGATAAATCTATTTGTAAAGGTGATACATTAGGCACAGTGTGTTAATGAAGTAACAAAAGTCCCAAAACACTATCGCATAAGGAACGATGAGCTAGCGCAAAGTAAAAATGCAGCTCTAGCTCCTTTATAACACCATGCTATACAAAGTTTATGACAACATGCTAGCTGGTTTAATACACTTGCACGCTAGCATGAAGTAAAAATGCACTACAACGCTTATGACAATCAGCTAGTGTGTTTATGACGACATGGTTTCAAAGATGTTTCAACAGGCTGTTTAAACCACACCGTCAAGCTAACACATAATAGACTGTGTAAAGTTTAGTTACCATGGAAGCATGTTTTGTGTCAGCACAGCTGCATGTTGTTTTAGGTTGCCTTAGCCTGACAGTGTTGAGAACACTGTGTTGGCACATTGTTCCTAACATGCTTTTACAAATGGCCTTATCAGGACACAATAATTTTCATAATCGACTAGCCATGCATAATTTTTGTAAAAGTACATGGGGTACCAGGTGCAGATCTGTAGTCCTCCGAAATATTATTGGACAGACCGGAGAGCTACAGTGCCACCCATTGAAAAAACTATATTTATTGCGCACAAAAAGTTGCGCTTGTGTACATGGTGTATGAATTAAATCTCCCAAATTCTTACCTCAATTGCAAGAAAATTAGATTTAAAAATTTTCCGTACAATTCTATCAACTACTTTTGTAGTTGATATCTACATGAAGCTTGTTGGGCTGAATTATCTTACAAACAAAAATGACAGTATAATCTGTATAAACAAACAAAATTTTCAATGATCTCGATATCAGGGACACTTGTTGTGGAAACAGTGAAAGATTATGTTAGGAATACACGGTTAGCAATATTTTGAGATTATTGTTTTAAAAACATTGAGGAATAAATCAATACACAGCGCACTTTTTTTGTGTGCAATAAATATACATTTTTTTCAATGGGTGGCAATGTAGCTCTCCGGTCTTTCAACATATTTTTCGGAGAGCTACAATTCTGCAGCTAATGGGGTACATGTAAATAATTTTTTCATTTAGTTTTCCAAATGTTTTAAAAAGACAGGGAATGAAAATCAATTTTCTATATAAAGTATAAGCTTCAATTCATTATAAGTATTTGCCTAAGCATTTTTCCTATATGACAGGGTTATTGAACTTATATTGGTGAATATATATTGTCATGAGTTGGCTGTTCAAATGCACGAGATCACCAGTGCATTTGAACAGCCAACAAGTGCCAATATTCACCAATATATGTTCAATAACTCCTTTACTATATGGCTAAAACATTTCCCAGACTGTAGAAGTACATTTTTCCGCGTTATATTAATTAACTCTATGTACGCAGTCACACATTTTCCTCAGAAATTTGTAAATGTAAGGCATACAGTGACTGTCTAAAAAAATCTGCATAATTTTCTATATGTATCCAAAGATTAAACAGAAATTGAGATTGCGTGGAATTATGACCCCGTGGGAAAAAGTACATCTATAGTAATTTATGATAATTATTTCAATTAAAAAAACTCAAATAAATGATTTTTAACAATAGCGTTATTCAAATTAACGTCTGTCCTGTAAGCGTTCAATATAACATCATTTTGATGACTCAATTGAGTGATATGATTTGCTTATTAAGGTTTTAATGGATCTAATATGCACTAAATTTTTAGTAAATAATTTCATTTTGTGTAAAAAAAATAAACACATCTTATGTAAATGCCATTTAATTTCATTAATATAGCTCTGAGGATTTGACTAGACAACTTTTTTTTGTTTACAACGAGGCGTTCAATATTGAACGCTTGTATTTGGAATGTTTTGGGCAAACTTATATACGCTATACAAAGCAGTGTTCAATAAACATGATAAAACATCAACGTATTAAACGCTAAAATTCTCTATATTCTTGGTTGTATTTTATTAGAGACTAATTATTAGCTATATAATAAAACCCAAATACATCATTGTCTGTTATGGTAGCCTAGTGGTAGGGCATTCGCTTTGCAAAATCATGAAGCTGGGCTTGATTTTAATTCACTGCATCAAATTTAAGACAAAAACATTTAAGCACTAATGTTCCTTAGCAATGCACCCGGCATATAAAGTGAATGAGACATTAAAAACCTCACAGTACATGTTTACTTAGGACAATGACCCTGAGTTCTAAGTAAAGGTCTTAATTGATGCTTTTCAACAATATATATTAACATATCTCTAAATATGTGAATGAGTGAAATTCTAAAATAAATATTATCAATCAAAGTATCAGTAAGAAGCTGATCCTTACGTCGCAGGTTCCAATCCCATTGCTAAATGCTTGAGACAGGATACGCCGATGAGACTGTAAAAACCAAGATTCTGTGTCACGGTAGGTGTTGGCACAAAAAGGATCCCATACTTCTCAAAGGCAATAAGTGCTGAGTACAAGTCTTTATTTGCAGTTAATACTATCCCAAGTGGTGGCACCATAAAATAACTGAAAAATGTTTGATAGGCCAATAAACAAACAAACCATTCCTGCAGTCTTATCGTACAAAAACGCAAACTTTCTATTATTACAATTTTTTTTAAACAAATTTCTTATGCAATTTAACTGAGCAATATTTGTCCTTTTTTTGTCAATAAAGTATGATATTAATTAAGACGTTTTGAGAACATCTATTTATAGCGAGTCCAGACAGCAGCACAAATCCCTGCTCATAATGCGAGCTCTTATGATAACACCTTGGCAAAAGAAGATTGTGACTTGCACATTGATCCATACAATTTTTCCGCAGTTAACTTTGGACCCACAGTGCTTTACTTCTTTAACATGTTTAAGTTACATTCTTGTAAGAATTAATTATGAAAATATTCCAAAAAATAAACTCACTTTAATTTAATGGATAGATTGAGATAAATAGTGAATAAAAACATTGCTCTGACATTAAAATCAGCACTTATATTCAAGCTTTAGACTGGTTATGTAGTAAGATTGCAACGATAAACCGTTTGAGGGTATACCGCGGTTTATTTTTCCATGGTTCAGTTCACGATACATCAAACTGTTATCACAGTTCGGTTCATTCGGTCTGTAATTATCCAAATTGTCTGTTTTGGTTCCTCAATTACACTTTTAAAATGGCTTCTGCATGAAACATGAGGTCAATGAAACTGCAGACATGGCAGTTAAACCTGTTTCCAGCCTCATATTTAACGGGTCGAATGATGTTATCACTTTCCCAGTGTTAGTTCAATGAACATTTGTTAAAACTTTTGAGTTGAAAGTATATGATGACAAACCTCTGACTTTTTAACACAATATCATGTCAGGTACCGTGATACGTATCGTGAACTGAATACCGTGATATGTATCATACCGTGGGGTAGGTGTATCATTGCACCCCTAGTATGTAGCCCTAAGTTAGCTACCTGCATTACGACGTCATGTGACTTCAGAGTCTATTACCCTGTTCACAAGCAGAGTTTAATTAATTCGCAGTAAATTATCACAGAGTAAACTAATGCAAATCAAACTGTGTTCACATGACAGCTAATGCGAAGAAAACAAATGCGAATTAAAAATTTACTTCTACAGTCAGACGTCAGTAAGGCTATTATGACATCTTTTACAAATCATGTCACCTAAAGCATTAATTTTGCCATTACGCATGCCTATGCAGTTTGACAAGCCTGATCTAAATTAAAACTGAAGAAGTATCTGCCCTCACCCGAACAGTCGCACTGTCAATATATAATTAGTTGAATATATACTGTAACTAACAATAAGTGTAGTCTAACTTACAGAGTATGATCACTATGATAGATAGTACAACTGTTGTGTTGCAATTTTGCATTTTGGTTTTGAAAGCGAGACTTGTTGAAATTACATACTCAATTTTTTTTTAAAATAAAATATAAAATCATGGGTATTTACAAGGCTAACAGAGAGCATCTGAACTGTAAAACAGATAATATATTAGTGTGTCTGTGTATTTCTAATAATACCAATGCTCTATTACTAAGTTGTCATGTAATCAGTGTAAATTTTATGTAAAAAAAAAATATTCTAACCTTCATTCCAATGGTCAAGGCCAATCATACATTAAAATGTCGCCGTCAGCTCTTTCATTACTAGATACAATTATCACTGGGAAATCCGAAGCAGAGTCAAGAGTGTTCATCCTTGTTAATGTGACAGTCGGAATTTCCTCATAAACAATTCACACAAGATTCTTAGAATATATGAATCGGGATAAATCTGTTTAGAATAATGTTCCAGAGGAGTGACAAAGTACTTCGTAGCTGCAGATTAAATGTGCGTGCATGTCTACATACGGCTTCTATGGTGAGAAAATGTTCAACTTCACAAATCATTTCTATTTTCAGTTTGTAAACATGTGTCCGACGTCGACTCGAAGGGGCACACTAAAAACGGGATATACTAAAGACCTGATGTTTACCTGACGTTTTAATTTTTAATTAAATGATAATATTGAGTTTTTTAAATTACTTAGGTAAAGACTTTATGACCTTGATGCATTATGCTATACAAAAATTCAATTGTTTGGAACATTTACAGACAATTTTGAATCAGGTCAAATAAGTTTTAGTACACCGCGTCTTTAGTACTTTCCTATTTCCCACAATGCCGCGCGTTGTTTACAAACAAGAGACCCCGAAAAAAATCCTCTAAACTAATTATTGTTGTGTACATCACCACATTTTAAAATTATTTGAATAAAAAGAAAACAGAGAAACACCGTATCAAAACTATATCTTTCAGATGCATCAACTAAAACTGTGCACATGCAGTAAAGGCTTGGATGGCTTATAGTAGACAACTTGTTCCTGAAAGGTTTCTCACATTTTCTCACATTGTTTTATTAAAAACAATTAAATACAGCTTGAAGTTTATTTCTTTTAATATCAAATGACAAGATTTAATAAGTTCGAAATCATTTCAGTCAAACTTTTTCATAATATGCCAATATTTTTAGCTATCAGAAAAAAACGTGTATGAGCTATTAACCCCTAATTATAGGGGCCAGCCCCTTTTCCTTGATCTTATATGAAAGCTCTCGTAATTATGCACGACTTTTGTTTTATATTTCTTACCAAATTATTCCCGGTTCAAAAGTTATTACACAAAAAGAAGCAAAATTTCATGGAAAAAAAATACTAGAAATTGCCGTCACATAGCTTCCGATCTTTAAGAAATCAGCTTATAATTTTATCGTTATGCACATCTACAATGTATTGGCTACAAGTTCTCCAACTTTCATAAAATTATCATATGTCGTTTTTGAGTTTATTAGTGGACACGAGACATCAAAATTATCAATTAAAGGGCAATAACTCACAAAGTAAGGCATGTATCAAAAAATTGAAAGCAGATGTAAATAGGTGTAAATACAAGGTATCTAACCTGAAAGTTTCATAAAAATCAGTCAAAAGGTCTTTGAGAAATCGCCTGTCAAAAATTCGGCGGGAAAAAAAAAAGCAAATAATAATAAGAAACAGTAGAATAACAGTAGGGTCTTCCGAAGGAAGCTCGGAAGACCCTAATAATAACTAGATGCGTTTTTGTTGCTAGAGCAACAAGCGGTCTTCCGACCGACTTTTCGTTAGAGTTCTATGCTGTGTCCTCCCAGGAAATAGATTTCAGAATGTATTTTTTGTTTACGTTTATTCACAGCAGTATATCAGCATACATCATGATAATTACAGGTATTCCTCAAAATATCTCAGAAAATAGCTTTTAAAAATCGGCAAAATATTCCATACGTGTTATAAAAGAGATAAAAGTCATTTGCAACTGAAAAAAGACGGAAACTTAGAAAAAAAAATTTGAAACGCCTCTGGCGGGATTCGAACCCCCGACAGTGGGACAAAGTTTAGTTCGGTCATATCTTAGCAATATATGCACGCATCAAGATACTGAACATATATTAAGAATTCTCATACGACACTCTATAAACCCTGTAAATCCTAAAGAAAAATATTGAAAAACAAAAAAGTTGAGAAATGAGACTTTTTGAATTCACTTCCGTTTGCGACCGAAGTGCCAACGACGAAAAATAAAGGTCGTTCACCATAACGGAATTCGATGTTCCATCACCTCAGTGAGTTTCACTTTCATATCTTTAGCCGTTCTCGAGAAAACTTCTGGACAAAATGCCATTTTAAAAAAACAAAAATCACCAAAAATCGCGAACGAAAGTGAATTTTAAAAAAATGAAAAATACGTCTGGAGATATTCACATTATGCATTATCCCTGTAAAAATCTTTGAAATCCGTCCACGCATAGCTGAGATATCGGCTGTACTATGAAGAAAGAATAATAATAATAACTAGAAAAGAAACTCGTTGCGAGCAACGAGAGGTCTTCCGTCCGATTCTGAAAAAATTAAACCCGCAAAATCGAGCTGAAAAAGTGATAAAACTTTTTATGGAAAAAAACGGGATTGAACCCAGGTCGCCAGCATGAAAATACACAGCGCTTAATGTTACACTATTGGGACCACATCTCTAAATCTACTTTTACATACTTCTGAAACAGTACGTCTGTCTTAGAATAATGAAAGGCAGTCACTATTCATAATTTTGCGTCAAACGCCACGAGTAAATCTTCGCGCCAAACTTGCTCAAGATGAACACATAGGAAATTGTTACTTGAGTTTTAACAGTAATTTTTAGGATAGATAATCTATTAGTGATGAACAGATAATACTGTTTTCTTTCCTTTATTATGTTCCCCAAACGAAGTTGGGGAACATATTGTTTTTACTCTGTTTTTTATTATTATTATGTTCCCCAAACGGAGTTTGGGAACATATTGTTTTTACTTATTTTTCTTCTTCTTCCTGGGTACTTTTTTGTCCGCGAGTGATCTTGTAAACTGTTCATCCGATGTAGGTAAAACCTTTATAGGGTCAGTAGACATGTTATGTAGATATGCGGAATCAAGGTCATTTTGCGCGCACGTGCTTGCAAGAGCGTGCACGTGCAACACGTTAAATGACCGATTTAATTGATATTGATGTAACTTTTAACATTTTTAATGAAATGCTTTGAAACTCATAATATAAGGATATATTAGTACCATAGACAATATGACATGGTCAAAATAGCAAGATCTCACGCGCATGCACGTGCGCTTTGCTCTGATTGGCTGAAACTAAAGTCTGAATATCTTTCTTGTTTTTTGACGCAATCCTTTGAAATTTTGAACATAGGCATGTATTAAAATATCCTACATAACGATTTAGGTCAATTATCATGAAAACACGTGCATGCACGTGCGCTGCAATCTGATTGGCTTAAACTTTAAATAGCTATAACTCCCTTGGTTTTCAACCAAACAGGATGGGATTTGGAACATAGATAGATATAATGGACTTCTACAAGAAGGTATGTCACTATGCACATGCATACACGTGCGTATACGTGCGCTGCAATCTGATTGGCTGAAACTTTAAACAGCTACAACTCCCTTGGTTTTCAACCAAATGGGATGGGATTTAGAACATAGATAGATGTAATGGACTTCTACAAGAAAGTATGGTCACCATGCTCATGTATGCACGTGCGTGCACATGAAATGAAAAAAATCAAAAATACACTCGAATGAGCGTATTTTTAATACTTTTGGATTAAATACTTTAATATTAAGTATAATAAAATATATAGATTGTGTAGACAAGATGATATGGTTATTACGCACATGCATTCACATGTGCACGCGTGCAATGCTTAAATTTGAATGCACTTGGTACACTTCAGGGTAAACGTTGTTAAAGTCTCAAATGCATAGAGATTTTCTTATTTAGTGAAGATTACAGGGAATATGGCACCAAAAT